CTCGTGCCTGTGGTATCACCCACCGGCACTCATCCAGCTCGTTATTTAACGTCGCGGACTGACTGACTGAGATTACAGAGAGCCGGGCCCTTTAAAGGGCTGGGGACACACAAGCCGTGCCCACTAGCTCTGGACAATATAAGTATGAAACCAACCAACAGGCAGGGCGGCGGAGCGCGGGGCTGCGAGGAGCCGATCGGGCACAGCGGGCGGCAGGGAAAGCGGAGGGTGCCTGGGAGCCAGCCCAGTGACTGTCAGAGAGTTGTGAGGAGGGGAAACGGGGGGCAAAAGACAGGGGAAAGAGGGGGATCAAGGGCCAGGACCGCCAGCAGGCGGCGCAAGCGGCTCCGAGACGCCACCCACCCCGGCACAGAAGCTGGGGGAGCGGCCAGGCGGGCGGGCGGGGACCGTCTCAGAGGGCAGGCGACACAGGGGGTCAAGGCTCAGGTCAGATCACACGGGAGAAGGGGGCAGCCAGCTGCCAACGAGGAGAGGGGAGAAAGGGGGACGCCAGAGAAAGCACACCGAGCGGCAGCGCGGCAGGCACAGCAGCGCACGAGCAAGCACAGGCGCACAGGCACTGCAGCACACTGCCGGCGGGTCCCCGATGGCGTGACTGCGGAAAAGCGCAACCACCTCCACTGGTTCCAAGCACACCTCGCACGGCGCAATAGCCAGCCAAGGGGCACCACAGCCAGGCAGCAGCCGACAGCGCACAGGCAACCAGATGCAAGCCGGCACAGCAGGCGAGCAGCGCGGCAGCAAGGCGGCGGGCACAGGGCAGGCAGGCAGAAGATGGGCAAGAGGGAAGACGGACACGAGAAAAGGGGTGAGGAGGGCACAGTCAGGAGAAAGGCGGGGAAGGGCCAGCGGAGCTGATTGACGATCAAGCAGGGGGAGGAACAGGAGGGGGGCGGAGCCGAACGCGGCCGCCGGTAGAGAAGAAAAAGGGGTGGGCAGGGCCAAGGCTGTCAACCCAAGAGGCGGGGGCACAGCCCAGGGCCTCAAAATCAGCGAGAAGGGACCAGAAGGACTGGAGAGCCGCGCGGCGGGCAGCCACCAGTGGCGTGGCT